AGCCTGGAGGAAATGAAAACCTGGGGAGAAATGTACTTAATCTTGACTTGGGAGCCTATACCTAGGGGTTCTTCTAACTCAAGAAGTTCTCCTTCCTCCCATGTTTCATGATTTATAGACATCAGTGAAGATCCCCTTCCCCCCTAAGTTCCTGGAAAAATAACTTAAAATGCAAATTCTGCCATGGATTTTCGTTCTTACGTGTAAATGACAGGGACACTACTCCTGTCTGAGCACTGAGGGAAATAAGGGAACAGGACCCCTGAGGACACACGTTTGATGAGCCAGTTCTACCACAGACGGGGTACATTGAGGAGCCTCCACAATTTCCCAAAGTTCTCTTTTCTCCACAAGAAGAAAGACAGGAATTAAGGGGTCCTTGCACAAAGCAAATATGGCACCTCCTTCCCAGTGCGAATACGGGGCCACTGTGGGAACTACAGTGTTACCCCCGCAGAAGGCAGAGGGGACCGTGCTGAGCATGCAGCAGGCGACTATCTTTCCACAGTGGGGAAAACGCTTTCAGAAGATGTTTTCTGAACCCCATCCGCCTCAGAGCATCTTCCAAATTTTTAGTGCTAAAAGTTTTTCAGTGTAATTAAAGGCTGAGCTGATCTAATTAGATTAATGAAATTTTCAGTAGGGATTTAATTCCCTCTAGCATTTCGCTTGATTTTTTTTGATTTTTTTTAATCTTTCTAGAGTCCTTCCTTAGGCTCGTCCCAAGCAATACTTAGTGGCAGTGTTCTAAATTGCCTCACATAAGCAGCATCTCCGCTCAAGCAAAGAGACCAAGTACATATGGCTAAAAACAAATTCAAATTAAAAATTCTATGTTCTGGAAGCACAGAACAGACTGGGGAATCTCTAAGGGAAGGGGTGAGGGGGGCGGGAAGAGATTCTTCGGTTGAAGACTTTATATGCATAAAGGCATAACCCATGGCCACAGACAATAGTGTCCTGAAGGCCTGGGGTGGGGCAGGAGCCAGGTGGAGGGCGGTAATGAGGGAAAACGGGGGACGTCTGTAATGCTCTCAACAATAAAGATAAATTAAAAAAAGAAAAACCAAAAACAATTCTTTCACACCTCTTCAGTTTCATTTTCTTCCCAACAAACTATGTTAAATAATCTTTACTCTGCGGGAGGGAAATAGGTGTTTCGAAGCATTTCAGAAGCACAAAGAAATGCGTAGAGCATGACAGAGCAGGAGATTCTCAGGCAAGATTATTGGGGAGCAGCCTGTCTCTTCTTCGTAAGTCGTTTAGTAACAGCACCAAGTCCTCATGGCCAAAATATTGAGAAGGAAATACATGGTAGTGAGATTTTCATCTCCCTCTGAGGATTTAAAGATATATATCTGTGATGAGCAACTTGGAAATCAACTCTGATATTTTACACAGAACAATGTTTTCCAAGCCGTCTAAGGCGGATGGGCAGGGCTGTCGATGTCCTCAAGCAGGCCCAGGCATCTCACGGAGATGCCGTTTGTCTCTCTGCTGGGCCGACCGAGTCCCTCTCCGGGTGCAGCAGTCACTCACAACTGCCTCTTGGAAAAAGTAAATTAAATAGAAAATGATGAATAATCCTTAAGCAACATATATTTTAGCTTTTACTCAATGTTATAAAAAATGCAATTAAAATATAAATAGATGTTTCTTGCCAAAGCATTCGGGATTGCTTTTGTAAAAGTCAGGTTGAAATAGCATAGTTTTTAAAGATGTATTATTTTACATAAATTTCATAGATGTGGGCTGTACGTAATGGTAGTTTATTATTTATAACTTTTCCTTTAACTTTTCTCAAATTTATAGCCTTCGAAAGTAATTTTCAGTGAGCACGAACATTTTTCCAAAAGTTTGTACTCTTCTCTGTGCTTTGAGTGCCACTCTTTACGACGAAAGTAAGCCAGTTATTCAGATACTGTGTTTTATGTGACAGGATTCTGTGTTCTAATCTTGTTACGCCTTCATTGCTCTTGGTGGGTCACGTAACTTCTCTAAATCAGTTTCCCCATTTCCAAAATAGGGAGGTTGGACTTGCAGAATGATTTCCAGGATCCTTTCTAGTCTAACACTCCAACATTTCTTCTGTGACCTCAGACAGGTGTTATGAGAATCTCCCCCAGGACTAGTCATCCTAAGAGGGAGTACCTACTACATTGAAAGTAAAAACGTTATGAGCCATAAATGAAACCATAATTAAGGTTTTATACATGCCATGTGCTGCGGGGCAGAAAGCCCAACAGAGTTAAGGAAGCTTACACGGGCTTCGTGTTAAGGGAGATGTGGTGAGAATGAACATGGGCATGTTCCTCTCTTTTTCTACAAAGTAATTCTACAAAACTCAGCTATCTGAAACAAGGTGATTTAACTCAAAATCCATGATACTTTGTCACAATTTCATTTCAGAGTTAGGAAGAGCAGGGCATTCTAAATAGTAATTCAGACACGGATGGAAGCTATGAACCATCTGAAAGCCCTTCAAGTGAGGTCTGTTTTGATTTATAGGCTGAGCGTGTCTGCACCCTTCCACCCTCCAGTGTGTCCGGAAGAAATAAAGTGCAGGAGATTACACATCAAAACAACTGCAGTACTTGCTCCAAACACATGCCCCGGGCTCTGGAAGAGAGATGAGGGATGTGCCCGACCAATAAAAAGGAGTGTTATCTATCCAAAATCTATAAAGGCAATGGCACGAGTGAATCCTCATTGCCTGGACTCAGTAGCTACCAAGTAAATGTCACATGGGAGACCACCTGGCTTGTTTTTGCCGTGATGTTTTGTGTGTGTATGTGGTTGAAAGATCAATTGAAAAGAGACAAATTCTGAAGCATATAGACTACTCATTATCAGTTAAACACTGAAGACATGAATCTGAAACTGTAATTTCAAACTAAGTCAATCCACTGTAGCTTCATACACTCAAAAAATTGCCTCGTCCATGCTGAACTGCTGAAGGACAGTGGGGCTCAGTTGAACTCAGGTGTTGACTGCAGAAATCCTCAGGTTCATACAGGATATCTGAAAGGGCTCTTGACCTAAATTCCAGATTCTGCTAGAGATCCATGGATTCCCTTTCCTTTTTCCAGTCCATGGTGGGACTAACTTTCTACAGATAAAGCAGGGCATAGGGGCTGATTGTAGGTTGGCCTGTTGATAGTGAGAGTGAGGAAATGGGATGGGTGGGTAGGGATGTGGTTCTTCCCCCCAACCCCTATTCCCATCACCAGAGGGGGTTTCAAACAACTTGTGAAATCTAGTTAAGGTTTTTCCCATGTTCCTCCCAACTTGAAATACTTTCTCTACTCCCTTCCTGTCCAAATCACAATCATCCTTCCAGGTTTTCACACTCTTCTGTTCATCTCCCTTGTCTACCAGATCTCTCACTCATTTCACCCTGTTTCAAACTCAGCTGGGTGTAACTAGGCCACACAGTTTAATATCCCACTGCCCACAGTCCATTGCACATTTCTAAAAACAGTTCTCAGTTTGTAGCAAACTTGGGGGTTTTATACAATTTTCTACCACAAGGACCCTAACATACGTTTTTGTTGGGACACTGCATATTACAGTGGCTAAGAACACATAAGACTCTGACATCAGACTTCCCTGATGAAGCTCTAGGCCTCAATTCTTCTTATGTAAGATCTCGCTCAAGAAACTTACCTGCTCTGAATCTCAGTGTCCTTGTCTGAAAAATGCAGATAATAAAACTACTACCTATATTGTGGAGATCCCTGAAAAGCTCTTAGGATAGCATCAGGCACAAAATAAGCTCAAGAATGTCAATAATATTATTATAATAATTATAATTATTATTATTATTATTTTATTATGTCCACAGAGATTAAAACAGTCTTGAGTCATACTACATATTTTTTAAAGATTAAAGTTATTATCTGGGATGCAATTGATCCCTCCCACCACAAAGTATGGTTGGATTCAGCCTGTCAGAACTATATCTCCTTGTATTTGTTAAAACTGTAGCATTTTGAATCCCCCTTAGGATTCCTCTATGTACATCTACACACTGGGCAACGCAATGCCCAGTAAGTTCACATAAATGGAAGACAGGCAAGGGTAATTCCAGCAGCGTGTTTTGTTTTTTTTTCCACTGATGCCTACCCAAATCAAGTGTGTATGATGAGAATATGTCCTTTAGAATTAACCAAAGTATGTCACCGTTTACC